AAGGGCGGTAGCTGTCGCGCCACGCATGCGCAAGATATATCAACGAGTACAAACTGAGACATTACCAAGCTTTAATTAGGTACTTTTATTAGGTGTTTAGAAGGTATCGAAGGAGTCACGAGTGGTATTTAGTGCTAGTCGCACCCAGGTCGAACCTCATACTTGTGATTTCCATTAGAAGAGCGCATTGGATTGTGGGAAAATCAATGTTTATCAACACAAATGTCGCAAATGCGCAGCGCGACGACCACCGCCTTTTAAGTAACATGGCATCTAATGATGATGATTTTTTACAGCAGTATGAAAGCTCAAGCATCAGCATGAACGAAGTGGTTTTGAAAAAAAAAAATTGTATGTATGTCTTTAATGTGTCAGCTCTGAACATCATATCCTCAAACAGTTGAATGCATTCAGGATTATCAAGCTTTGTTTTCAGTCAAGGATCACTTTTATTAAATAATTACACACTATAAAAAAGTTACATATTACTGGAAAAGTTAGGTATTTGAAAAAAATCGATCTCAGAAAAAATTATATTAAACTATAACGTCAGTTTTGGGGGAAAATGCAAGCAGTGAAAATACCGGTAATGGCGGTTACAGTAGCAGTGTTTCAGCGTTATCTTTTTTTGTCTATATTCCAAAATGCCTCTCGTAGCTTCTGAAATGTTCCTTTATTTAACTCATTCATGTCTTCCATGAAATCTGAAATATCAAACATAATCTCAGTTAGTGAATAAATCATGTCATGTTGGGAGGCATAAGGGTAGAACAGTTATCGGTCTGAACTGGCCAATCGGGGGGTTGTTTGTTTGAACTAGCCAATCAGTGGGTGGGTTGGTTGTTTGTTTGTTTGAACTGGCCAATCGGGGGGTTGTTTGTTTGAACTAGCCAATCAGTGGGTTGGTTGTTTGAACTGGCCAATCAGTGGGTTGTGTATTTGAACTGGCCAATCGGGGGGTTGTTTGTTTGAACTAGCCAATCAGTGGGTTGTTTGTTTGTTTGAAATGGCCAATCAGTGGGTTGTTTGTTTGTTTGAAATGGCCAATCAGTGGGTTGTTTGTTTGAACTGGCCAATCAGTGGGTTGTTTGTTTGAACTGCCCAATCAGTGGGTTGTTTTTTTGAACTAGCCAATCAGTGAGTTGTGTATTTGAACTGGCCAAACAGTGGGTTGTTTGTTTGAACTAGCCAATCAGTGAGTTGTTTGTTTGAACTGGCCAATCAGTGAGTTGTTTGTTTGAACTAGCCAATCAGTGGGTTGTTTGTTTGAACTAGCCAATCAGTGGGTTGTTTGTTTGAACTCTGACCAATCAGTGGGTTGTTTGTTTGAATTCTGGCCAAGAAAACATATAATATA